GGTGGCATAAGGATCACTTTTTTATATCGAGAAGCGTGTTCTACATTATTTATCAGGCAGAGGGAACTTGTCGTTATACATTATGTAAACAATAACACGCTTATTACAAATGCGTTCGTAGTTGTCATAAACATGTCAATATGACATATATAATGTGACAGAAAACTGGTTACTCCTTGTGTAAAGATTCTACTTAGCATAATGATCTTACACATAAATACATGTAATTGTTAAGTAAATATAAGGTCACATATTTTTGTCCTTATCTGTAACTAGCATTAAAATTTTACGATGGATTTATTACGCAATATAAGCCGCGTGAGACAAGGTGAATGACCCTTTATCGACGATTTAATGCAAGCAATTGCTGACGATAAGCAAATTCGATTACGTCTTACGCTTATTTGCAGGTAGTATTAACATATTGAATGCTTGAATGACACGGGAAAAGCTTCACTTAATATAAATAATGAAATAAACATAACCTACAAATGGCGCCCGGAAGGAACTCTTATTTAGCAATGAGGTCGCCTGGTGTACAGTAGCTTATTGTAATATACATTACGTTACCATTCTGTGTTGTTGAAAAGTGCAATGAAAAATATTTTTCATCACACTTGCTCGTAAACAGTGCCATAACGTGCAGGCAAAGTCGGCTGTAATGTGCTGGTTTACGCCTACGGGGTTTTTCTTTACATTGCACTGTACTTCTCTTATACGTTAAGATTAAAAGCATAAAGTTTTAATGCTCGAAATATTTTAATTATTTCATACAGCTTGAAGTTGACTGCCTCCGTGGCCGAACGGTTACCATGCCGCCACTGCCACGCAGAGGTCCCAGGTTCGATTCCCGGGCCGGGAGAAATGTTTGTATGGCTTACATTTATTTCTCTTGTGAGTTTGGGTGTAATTTGTGGTTGTCTATGTGTGTGTCCATGGCACCCGCGACACAGGGTTTCCCTAGTGCGGGGCTATGTTGAGTGTGTACGTTATTATTATAGAAAAAAAAACTAAACATTTGCTAAATTAGTTTTATAAATTCAAATTCCACAGCATTCTTAGTGTTTTGAAATGATTTATTTTAGATTTTTACCATCATGGCTTTACGGGTTTTTGCCTTTTACGACATTTTAGTTCGAGTTGTATTATCTATGGAAGATTAGGTGGCCATCTTTTTATATATAAAAAAAAAAACAAATTACCCGCCATTTGCCAAATCTGTAATTGTTGTGTTGTGAAGCGATATTTGTTCATAAAAGAAATAAATTGTGTTAATGTTTATTTCCTCGTTGTATGTAGCACGGACGGTAAAAAATTCCAAACCTCGAGTCATTGAAGCACTCGGACTTTGGTTTCGAGCTTCTAATAGACTCTCGTTAGTAATTTCTTATTTACCGCCCAACTAATTCATAGTAGCAGTAGAGTTAGTCCTGTAAAGTATGTCCCATCTTCCCTGTTTCTGCTACCAAGCAGTTATGGGTGCATTAATGCGTTCCGGTTTTGAAGGGTCAGGAGGCTTGTGATGAATCAATTACAGGCATATGGGACTTGCCAATTTATGTCTCAGGATGGTGGGCAAGATTGCGATTTAAAGGAAAGACAGTAGCTGCATTGAAAGGGTCATTTGTTTAGCAGTTACTATGGCGAGTTGTTTATAATAACATCTCATTACTAGGATTATTATTTTATCATTAAAAACAACAAGCAATTATATTTTTTTTCTGATTTCGGCATCTAAGAATAGTGTTCACTAGAACAAGAGTTGACTCTTTACTAATGTCAAATGTACTTACCGATAAGATTTTGTTTAATATTATTTAATGATGTATAAACGAGGGGAACCTGTTATTAGCCTGACCCTTATCCTATATACTTACTATATAATATACCTTATATTAACGTCGATGGTTTTCTTAATAAATAAATAAAAAGCTTCATATGGTTTTGTAACGATCATGGCGTCTAGGAAAATCAAACTGCCCTCGTGCCCGAGCGTGTACCATGCTGGTCTGCCATAGATATGAGCGCCGATAATAGACCAACCGGCGGCGGCGGCGGCGCGCCGACAAAAAAGTGTCGGCGGCGGCGGCGTTTCGGCGGCGCGAGCGCGACCCTAAAACGAATTTGTATATCGATGTTTATTTTTACAAAAACCGTTATACAATAGTTTTTCAAAGGAAAAATTAAAATAACGTATTTTCTATACTAATCAAATTTTTATCAGTTCGAACAGGTGCTCCGATCGTACGCATATTATGTATACGTAGTGAAAATAGCGACGCCAGAAATTGATAAATTAATTTTTTAAACAAAACATCTTTAAATATAAAATCACTAACTAACTTTTGTCGCCTATCTATGTCACCTCTGCTGAGGCCAGACGGCACGGTGGCCTATACTGCAGATGACAAGGCAAATCTTTTTCCTCACTCTTTGCAAAGAGTTCGCGTCTGGATCTAATCTTAACGCAGCCTGGCTGCGCTATGGCGCCAATTCGCATACGCCAAAAAGAGGTACTTAGAACTCTGCAGAATCTAGACGTGAATAAAGCTAGCGGGCCAATTAGATTTCCAGCACTAGTCCTACGTAACTGTGTGTCTGAGTTGTCTCCTGTTCTCACACACCTACGTTTGTACCGCCTCTCACTTGAGACTAGTGTAGTTCGCAGGTCGTGGAAGCTTGCAAACATGCAACCTGTGTCGAAAAAGGGAAGCAGAGCTGACTCTGTCAACTATAGACCTATCTCAGTCACTTTCATACTCTGCAAGACTATACGTGTACTCAACAATCGTCTCTTGTCGAGTGGTCTTAGAAACCCACTCTTCCGAACATATGGCGATAGATTCCTCAGGGTTCCGTACTGTCTGCAACTCTCTTTTTACTGCATATCAATGACATGTTAATTCCAGGCATCTTTGCGTATGCTGATGATAACACAGTTGTAGATAGGTACTTGACCAATGCAAGGGTCAGTGGAGAGGAAATCCAGTCTTGTCGAGAGTCCATGGTTAGCCGTTTGGATTTGACATTCAAAGCAGTCTCCGATTGGGGCGATGCCAAATTTAACGTTACCAAAACGCAAGCGTGTCTATTCTCCACAAAACGGAGTCCCTTTGAGCTGACTCCGACTTACCGACTTACCGACCGATAGCCGACTGTCTCCAGTTACTTGGAATGGACCAGTTGTCCAATTTGTATTTCGGCAGATGCATTGAATCTATGGCCAAACGTGCAGCAAGGAAGCTTGGGATTCTTTCCAGGGTGAGGCGTTACGTCACACCGGGACAAGCACCATATCTTTGTACGTTAGTTTTGATTATAGTGACCCTCCCAATATACGGCAAATGAAAAGGACACTATAACCTGTGCGCGCACAGGAACCTTACAAGTTCAGGTTCTGACCCCAGATCAGCCAGTGTACAGGGTTCTCACAGACCTCTGTCACTTGACTTCATCCAGTTCTTCGAGAGGCTAGTGCCTCGGGTGAGCTGCCCCGGGTGCACGTACAGTACTCTCCCTATTTTTCAGATAGGTACCGGAGCTGTAGGCACGCTCACTTCCCGTTGCGCATTGCACAACTAGCAATTGCCACCGCTAAGCCGTCAACTCTGAGTCCACTACCAAATCTCCTCATTCGTGGCGGAGCTGTAAGGTACGCTCACTTCCGGACGCCGAGAAACGATGTCTCTCCAGTTCCTTAATAAAAGTTAAATTAGTTAAATAAGTTTTATCTTAGAAAACTCATTTTCTGGCGTCGCTCGCCATTTTCACATATACAATACGGAAGCGTGCGCGTGCGTACGATCGGAGCGCCTTATCGAACTGAACGGCGCGCCGATTGCATATGTCGGCGGCGGTGGCGCGAGGAAAAACGCGGCGGTTTCCCGGGCCGGCAGAAATAATTATATGGCCTACATTAATTTCTCTCATGAGTTTGGGTGTTATTTGTGATTGTATATGTGTGTGTCCATGGCACCCGCGATACAGGGTTTCCCTAGTACGGGGCTATGAGTGTGTGTCGGAAAAAAAACATTCTATAACGTATCTGATGCAATTTCGTAAAGTAACATGCAGTATACTTTTGCTTGCGGATGTGTGTATGTATTATCATTTTTTTGCCTTTGACAAAATCTGCGTCCGCGCGTCTCGAATTCAAAAATCTTGTCCACGAGTGCATTAAGTAACCCCTATACGACCAAGCGGGTTTCAAATGGAGGATCGTATGCCGTTTGATTACCCTCTGCGATACATCATTTGTGACACGATCCGATAGTTTGCCAATAACGGCAGACATTCATTGCCTTGAGCACCAACCGTATTGTACTCCAGTTTTACGATTATGGACAGGTCTTATTACAGCGTTATTAAGATAATACTGAGGTGAGCTGGTATGTATACGGTTCTATAAGATTCCTGCCGATATTCAAATCTTTTTTATGATGTCAAATTTACTGCTACAGTAGAGCTCTGTGAACGAGTTCGTCCTGGGAAATACTGCCACCTTATCTATTTCTGCCGCCAAGCGGTAGTGTGAGCATTACAGCGTTCCGGTTTTGAAGGGTAAGGTGCTGGTGAAATTACAGGCACCTGGGACTTGTCAACTTATGTCTCTGGGTGTCTCAAATCTTTCCGATTTAAACCTCTGGAGTAGCACTGCACTTATTACTGATAGACGTGTCTTTTACCACCTTGGTCATCCCGTTACTTCACATCATAAAAAAAATAATCTTATATTGATATTTTTTACTGTTTTACTCAGAATCAGGGACAAATTTTGATATTTGCTTTACGTTTTCGTATATCACTGTAAAACGGTTCTGAAATATCTGTAATTTAAAAGTCAATAGGACTAGAATTCACTTCTTATTCATTCGATTCACAGTATCTGAATTTAACACCATGTTATTCCGACCACTGATTTTGTGATGATAATAAAGTTCAATCGATAATGTTTGAATTCTCTTCAAAATGAAAATGTTTGTCTTCATTGTTTCAGATAGAACGTTCACAATAATCTCTCATCGCCACAACGCTCCCGCGGCTCGTATTTCAATTAAAAATAAGACTGATTTAAGGTTAACGTTAAATAAACGTACATTCCTTTTGAAATCTCAACGAAGTAACATGAATCTCGGGACGATGACTTAGATTAACACGAAGCTCTTGAGAACAAGAAACAGATATTGAAAAATCAGAATTATATCATGCGATAGAAGGCTAGAAAGGTCACGATGTTCAAGTTATTAGCGCGGTTGAGCGTGTACTTCAAGTACCAGCCGATTAAGATAGACAACGCGGTGTTCAGACTGCACAACGTGTTCACGACAGTGCTGCTGATGACGTGTTCCATCATCATCACCGCGACGCAGTATGTGGGGAATCCGATCCAGTGCATCGTCAGCGGGTTACCGACAAATGTAGTGAACACTTTCTGCTGGATTACGTCTACATTTACAATGCCCGATGCCTTCACCAGAGAGGTAAGAATATTTATGTTCTATTTGATATCTGTTTACTCTTTGATTAATGTTAACTGATTGTTGACTTTACCATCTCAGTCAGTTGTAACCATGAGACCTGGGAAAAGATTTTCGTATTATTAAGTACTTTCTTTTCCAGTAAACAGTTAAATTAAGTTTTTCTAATCTGATAATCGACAAAATAAACATTCAATTTGGAAATTTTGTAAAGTTCTCTTTTTTCCATCATAAGAGCTTAAATTGCTCCTTTGATATCACCATGATCATCTGCCTACATGATCCAACGGTTACAATGCTGAACTGCTATGTAGAAGTCCCGGATTCAATTCCAGGGTTCCAGGGTTCCAGAAATATTAGTAACTAAGTGTGTGTCCATGGCACCTGCTATACAGGGTTTCCCTAGTGCTGGGCTAGGAATGTGTGCGTTATTATTATTCTTATCATCAACTTGTGATACGTCCCATTGCGTGACATGGGTCTCCTCTGCGCCTATAGTCATGCTGGCAATGTGTATAGGGAACTTTACACACTTTCCTAGAGTTGCGAACATACTTCGATATGTAGGTTTCAACACGATATTATCTTTCATCGTTAACGAGAGTATTTTTACTAAATATTCATAATCTTTTTTTTCTTGGCGTGTCGACAATGACGTTTATATTTGTGAGGACCAGTACTTAATGACTGAGATAGCATTATCAGTGGCGTTGTACAGGTCCTCGCGTGTGCAGGTGTAGGGACACGCAGGGCAGGACAAAAGATGTGCCATTGTCTGGGGAGAGACACCACACGGACATGCGCTCTCCGAGCTGTAACCCCACCCGTGCATGCACTTCTTGCTTCGGCCGACTTGGATCCGCAGCCTATTTATGAACGTCCAAGTTTGCCAAGATAGATCATGCCCAGGAGGGAGGTGTTCTGACAACGGAATGAGTGACGCCGTGGGGTGTCTCTCCTTCCAGAGACTTATTCGGGCTTGCTTAATTTCTTCGACCAGAGGGTATACTTCTTTAATCAAGCTACGGCGACTCTTTAGCCTCTGAATTACCGGCTACTCTTTAGCCTCTGGATTATAAGAGGTATATGGTCTGCAGGCCCCACTAAGCTCAGCACCTATAATATAAGTTTCATAATAAACTAATGTATCACAAGCGTATGACGACGCGACCTCTCTCACCGTCATTCCACCTTTTTACCACCCTTTTCTCTGATTTCTGACCATCTACTTGGAAATTTCAAATCGTTCTTTAATTCCGTTTCTTCGTCATTCTTACTTTTCTTCGTTCCATTGCCACTTTCTACTAAATTTCCAAAGCGAGCAGACGTGCTCGACTTCATATCAATTTCTGACCAGTTACACCATTGAAAATCATGTAATCTAGGTGCTTGTAAAGCATAACATTTGTACATATAAGCACCCTTTTGGGCCTTTACTTTACCTTTCTTCATTTTCCTGTTTTTCACCTGTTCCTATTTTTCCGAGCTCTAATTTGATTATTCAAAACCCTAGGCCATAAGCGCTACAAGCGCTAAACATGATACTACTACGTCTTTATTCAATTAATTCGTGAATGCTTTTGTTCTACATCAAAACAAACAGTTTATTTCCTAAGCAGCTGTAGTTTGAACATCAGCCAATATTGCCAAGGGCAGCAGCAGCGTTAGTAGCGGCGTCGGTGTCGGTAAACAAACAGGGTTTCCTCAATGTTATGTCACTGTCGAACTCTACTGGCGTGCCGCCAAGTTTTGGTCAACTTTCAATTTCTTTGTGGTTTGTACACATGTTTTTGTCGTGTGACACCTCGCCGCTTCCGTATTGAAATGAGATAGAGAAACGTTTATGCTGTGCAAAGAAGGATTGTCTGCGGAAGGATTTAATAGAATTTCTGTGAAATAAAGATAATTCTTCATTCTTTCCAACCGACTTCAAAAAAAGGAGGAGGTTCTCAATTCGTCTAGATTTTTTTATGTACGTATGTTACGCGATAACTCCGCCATTTGTGAACCGATTTTGATGATTCTGTTTTTGTGGGAAAGAGGGTATCTCAATATTGGTCCCATTTAAATTTGAAAAAAATCCAACTCTAAGGGTGGCAAACTAGGGGATAAATCCGGTTTCGCGCACTTTCCGGTAACCGATTTCAACAAAACTTGGCAAATAGATGAATTGCATGAATTACTGAGGTCTTTTGTTTACATGAATAAAGATGTATAATATACCTGCTAAGATTTATGTAATAGTGAGACAATGGACAATGACGCTGAAAGAAAGGGGCCGGTTAGAAGTATTTGAAGATTACAGTACTGAAAAAGAATGGCGAGAATTAGTAACATAAAGAAAAACCAATGAGGATGTGTTAAGAGTGGTTGGTGCAATAATCTATTATTGCTCAAGCTTATTGAAGATAACTGAGAACTGCAATTCAAAGATATTTGGGTATCTAGCTCAGTGAGATGACGGATGATTCCATGTTGCTTCTCACTTGCTAGGTCGACGATATGAATCATGAATGCATTTTTAATTTAATTTCTAAGTTTTGTAAAAATTTCGTTCCTAGTTTAGTGTTAAAACTCGCATAGCCCCAATCCGTATGAGACCAGCGTGGTGGACTTTAGCACAAACCCTCGTTTTATAGAAAACCTGTTGTGACGATGCGACCTGTTTCATCGTCAAAACACAGATATATTATATCAATATAATGAGACGCCATGACTTCGTGAGCTAGTAGACAAGGGTTCTCGAATAATATACGTACGTAGCGAATATACCTAATTATTAACTAAGAAATGATGATCAAATTGGACACGCAATTTCAAATACCTTGGTTACCTTACTTAAAACTACATGTCCAAAATATAACATTTTAAGTGCTTTTAATATATTTTTTAAATAAATCTTCAATATTACTCTAGTTAGTGAATTAATGAAAAATATGATATTATATCGATATAAATACATAACAGACATATGGAATTATTAGGATTCTGCAAAGTATATATAGTAATCTGTGCTGCATTTCATTAATAGAATCATAGATTATAGAGTCGCGTTTGCATTTTCGCTATGTTGCCGCTCTAACGTAATAGTGGAAGAAAGTGCACGGTAACCCTGCTCTTCACGCATACATTTGCGAGTGTGCAGATAGCGCCTTGCTACATGTAGTAGTAGTAGGTAAATAATTTTCGACCGTTGGATGGAATGTCCGGGGTGTGATATTAGTAAATAAAATACACATGTAAATGGACGATATGCCTTCAATATATTTTACACCTTATCTATTTTTGGCCGGGCACAATCTATTATTTTGTTACTGTCAACGTCTTTCATAATGCTGGCACTTCACGTGCCTATTTGTAATTGCGAGTTTGATATATTTAGCAACCAATCACCATGTGTATCTCTACATATGCTATCTAGCATGTGTGACAAAGTATATGCCTTGTTGGCCTATTGAAGAATACGGCAAACATCAAACTCGCGTTACCGTGAGCTGTTTGGTTTCTCCACGAACATCAAAGGAGCCAAATAGGCAAATACGTAAGTTAACCGTCCACATTATGGTCAGATCCATTATTTTAACTCCTTGTTTGGCTCCATGTGTGGACGATCATATTTGTCAGTGTATGTTTGACTGTACAACAAATATTTTTCCAAGTACCTCAAACACCCAATAGCGAATACAAGTAGCCATTTAAATGCCGCCATGACTTCGCACGCCTCATGGGCAAATGGCATAAGTGAAGTTACGTCAAAAATGTTTATTGATCTATTAAACACAGAAAAATAAAACTCACACCCTCTCCAATCGTAGTAACTCTATCTACTAATATTGTCGACAGAGTTACAAGAATTAGAGAGGATGTCGGTTATATGTATTTTTCTGTATCTAATGAAGCTATAAACATTTTTGACGTACCTTAGCTTACGCCATTCTTCCATGTGGGGCGTGACTTGTGTTTCCACAAATAAATGAGCTAAATGTTTTTGCAAAGTTGTAAATAGATGAAAAGCTAAAAATAGAATGGAATAACTTATAGTTCTGGGAACCAAGCGGACTCAGTTATTCATCTTAATTTACTACATTTTGCTTGGTGTCTTGTTCGTCGGTATTATAGCAAACACAGTCATTAAAATGAATTACATCAAAAACTGGTATCTTACTCCCATAGTATTGTTATAGTATTTTATGCAATCGTTGCATAATGAGGGTTTTTTAAGTCGACACCGCGTTTAGGCCACGAGGCTTTGTCGGGTGGCCTAAGTAATAGGTACAAGATTTTAAGACCTAATTGTGTAATGATTGCGTACAATTCTTTTTCTAACAGTAAATAAATTTAAACGGAACCAATATTAAATGTATATTTTGTTAACAATTCATGACAACAAACGCCATGTATTTTTAATAAATTTTAATCCATTTATTAGGGTAGGCAAAGGTTCCACTGAAAGCCAAATAAACGCCACAAACTAAAAACCAAAGAGTATAGAACTGGCCAAGAACTGGCAAAGAGTATAGAACAGGTCTGGTTGTAAGAGTTTTAGGCCAATTTAACCAATCAGGAGGCAGTAAAGCATTTAAGTAGCGTCCTAATTGATATTATAATTAGCAAACATACGACTTTCTTTTTTTGAAACTCATAATAATTCTGTGTACAGAACTTTAATGAAATTATAATCGACAGATTAAACTATAGGAGTAGAAAAATATAAAGAAACATTCCATCACGCCTGCCTTTCCCTGGGATAGGAAAATATCATGAACCCCCACTTGCTATGCACCTGATAAACATATTCTCTTTACTTCGTACTTTTAACCTGGCATTATTTCAGTACATTCAGGTTTTCATCTTCATTTGTTTTATGAATTTGTGCCGTCAATCTACTCACGGCGTGGAAGAAGATATAGTCACAAAGATAGAAAAAGGGATGCTTAGATGGTTCGGACATGTAGAGAGAACGAATGAAAGAAGAGTGACGATACAGATTTATAAGGCGAGTG